TTACAACATGACGCATCATGTCAAACAGTTATTACAACATGATGCATCATGTAAAACAGTTGTTTTTACAACATGACACATCATGTAAAACAGTTGTTACAACATGACGCATCATGTCAAACAGTTGTTATTACAACATGATGCATCATGTAAAACAGTTATTACCACATGATGCATCATGTAAAACAGTTGTTATTACAACATGATGCATCATGTAAAAGTTATTATTACAACATGACACATCATGTAAAACAGTTGTTATTACAACATGACGCATCATGCAAAACAGTTGTTACTACAACATGATACATCATGTAAAACAGTTGTTATTACAACATGATGCATCATGTAAAACAGTTGTTATTACAACATGACGCATCATGTAAAACAGTTATTACAACATGACGCATCATGTCAAACATTTGTTATTACAACATGACGCATCATGTAAAACAGTTGTTATTACAACATGACGCATCATGTAAAACAGTTGTTATTACAACATGACGCATCATGTAAAACAGTTGTTATTACAACATGACGCATGATGTCAAACAGTTGGGTGGAGTTTTCAGCCACGTTTTGGAGCAATAAAAATGATTTTTTGGCATTTCTAGCTTTAAAGTTTGAGGTTCTCATAAAGCCAGAGCCCAGCATGTTGGCCTACCTTTTCCCTCCATGCGAACAATCAGGTCAGAACCAAACCTCTGACTGCTGACTTTCTCCTCCAAATCAAACAAYCTCTTTCCATCAATATCCTCATCTGAGATCCCATCATCGTGGTAGCGCCGCCTTGTCCCAGCCCGCTGTGGACAGGATAAACAGGAAATAATTAGAAAGGATTAAGATGTGCTTTCACAACAGACTATAACTAACAGAATCACCTAAAAGTCTGAAGAATCCTCAGCTGAAATGATAGAAACACTAAAATACTTCATATATTAAAGGTTCTGGAAAAGAAATAAACACTTCAGTCAAAGCTACAATCATTAGGTGTTTTAAAATGCTTCTGTTTTTCCATATAACTCTTTTAATCATGTCTCTGAAACATACAGTATCTCAAAACGTTTCTGTGCTACTAAACATTGTTATTTTATGTCACCTCAGACATGCCTGACATGTTTCAATGTTTCACTTCCATCTCCATCATGAGATTTATTAGATATATAGACATGATGAACTTCATTATAACAAATCCTGTCTGATTTTTATCTGACAACACAACTACTGCAGCATGATGTGTTTGAATGATTAAATACGCAGCATTTTGCAGCCATTTTGGAATTATCAAAGTAAAAATTATCAAAATACAGTGAATGAAATACTGATGCAATCTAAAACTGTATATTCTTGTGATAYGAGCTCGTTGTTTCTTCAGATATTTGCAGCTTTGATTTCATGAACTACATAAAAAAGAGACTTTCATTTGGTCTCTTTGCACCCMGACCATCAACCTGCTGCTGTTTTATTATGTGGATGCTGGTTCAGAACYATCGTTCAGCATTATTTCTAATTAAATGTCTCATAGAACTACATTAAGATCTCATCAGCTCCTTAGAAATGAWTTATTTCATACAAAGTGTGTTTTAAAATACTTTGTCTTCTTATGCTACCTCTGGCTTTCAGCTAAAATGACACTAATTTCAGCAAGCCTTTCAAAACTTGTAGCTTTTACTGAGCGTCATGCTACTTTTTGCTTTTATTTAGCTTCATGCTACTTTTAGTTTTTACTTAGCTTCATGTTACTTTTAGCTTTTACTTAGCGTCATGCTAATTTTAACTTTTACTTAGCTTCATGTTACTTTTAGCTTTTACTTAGCGTCATGCTAATTTTAGCTTTTACTTAGCGTCATGCTAATTTTAACTTTTACTTAGC